CTATAGTACATGACTCTTACAGACCGGTTAGAGAACGATTTTTTTGTTGCTTTTCAATAATATTATAATCCTCTTAATTCTTAGTATTTTTATTAAATTTTCTCAATTTTTTATGATATCTTCAGACGACAGAAAAATTTGGGAATAAAAAAATGAATCGGAAGTCGGTTGATTCCTTTTTCTGCTCTATTCCACTTTTCTTGGATAACATCAAGTTAAAAAAAGAAAATTATACCGTATAAATCACATGTGTCATTAATCTATCATGTATCGATCGTATGTGTTGATGTTAGTGGTAAACCTACTTGTTTTTGTCTTGTATAGCTTATTCACTTCGGTTATACACAATGTTATTCAATAAAAAACAAAAATCTAAAAAGATCATTAGAAGAATATAGAAATATTCGCTTAAAAATTAATTAAAATCTATTGACGGTTTTGTGTTTGATTTTGGTCGAAAATGATAGTAGGAGTGATTTTTGTATAGTAAACGAAATATTCAATTTTTATTTGAACTTTGTTGGCAATGTCCGATCATATTTGCAAAATGGATGGTAAATTTAATCTATGTTTTCTGACCAATCACACATGTCAACGTTGTTGAACAGACAGACATACAATCTTTTCTTGATTAAACTTCCTTGAATCCATTTTTTTTCTCGTATTATAAATCGACAATATCGTTGAATCCATCGTTTCTCTATTGTCATATTCTCTAATGATAATGATCTCTATCTATCCAAAAAAAGTAGAAAATCCTTTATTCTTAATCCTTTTGTTGAAAAAAAAAAATTTTGTTCAAAATTTTTTTTCTCTGAAAAAAAATATCTAATCTCATTCATGATAGTAATGGCTTCCTCTACTCAATTTCTAAATGAAACAGAAAGAGGAATTTTTTTTTTTCAGTTGTCTATCCTCGAACAAGAATGAAAAAATATATAGAAATTTTTGCTTGTAATTCTAGTTAGAATCGATGATGATGATGATGATGATGATGATGATGATGATGATGATTTATATATAGTCTCTAACTTCTTATATCAAATGCACGTAGTAAAGGAAAAATAATGCATAAAAATTGATCTAATGTGAACAAACTTAAAGAAGAAGAAGAAAAAAAAAAAACGCGTTCTTTAGTGACGGACACAACAAAAAAAAGAAAAGAAAAATTTGAAACTACCTAAACTCTCGACTAAGTACGGCATTTGTTTTCTTGTCTACCATTAAGCATTCTAAAATCTATGTGTATCTGTACACATCTTATTATGAAAAAAAAAATTCTTTTTTTTCCCTTATTCTTCTTTATCTGTTTTCTGAATAATGTGTGCATGTGTATGCATTATATTATTTTTGCGTACAAATCACACATAATGAAAGTTTTTTTTTTTTTTTTAGGGAAAAAAAAGCAGAACATGGAACGCAGAAAAAAGAAGAAATCATATTATTGTGCGAGCGACATTAGTAAATAATCTCATTCTTTTGTTTCTAACGCCGAGAATTCATAAACGATTTGTTATTGGCTGCTTATGAGTTCAGTTTGACATAAATTTCTAACTAAAGTTCAGAACATACTTTTATACAGACATAATTCATCGTTCTATTTTAAATACAACCTGATATATCTAAGACTTATATGTATGAGTACTCAATGGCATGATCAAATAATCTTGTATCGAATCAATATGATTTGTTTTAGATTGTAAATGACGCTTTTTGAAGAGTTTATGAATCGCTGAATCTATTTTCGTTAGACAAACAAATTTGAGCATTCGATTATGCATTCGAAACTAGTACTTTAAAATAAAAGATTTTTTTTTTTTTTGCTCTAATGTATTTATCAAATTTATATATATTTTTTGTTTTGAGATTATATCCATTATTATATTAAATGATTTTAGCTAAAACTAAGCAATTCAAATCAATTGCCAACATTTGCATTCTACTCTGATATACAACACTTTTTTCTACAACAACCAAAATACAATTTCTTGTGTTCCCTATTTTCGTCTAATGGATACGAATTCTTTTCTTCTTCTTTTTTTTTTATGAAATGTTCAACAACTTGCAATAGATATTTTGGTTAGAAAAGTGGAGAAAAAAAAACTATGAGTAAATGACAAAATCAAATAATAATATACGTACAATAATAATAATAAAAAAATCACTACGACGAATAATGAATTTAACTGCATAAAGAACTGTGATAAAGAGCAACGAACAGAAAAAGGGAAGGCGAGAAAAAAGAGAAGCAAGTTGTTCTAATAATCATAATCATCATAATAATAATAATCACAATAATAATGAAAATTTTTTCGAGAGATTTCAGAAAATATAAGAGTAAAGAAAGAAAAAAAAGATATTGGAATAAGGCAACGACAACAGCAAGATTCTATCGATTGTGCATAATTGAGTTCATGAATGGAAAATACTATATATTCGGGTTCTCTTTTTTTTATGAGTCGATGTATTCGATTTTTTTTTTCTTATTCTCATGCGTTTAGCATAAATTATCAGTTTATATTTGCATAAACAGCATCATCATCATCATCATCATATGAATGTGTGTATAGTAAGAATCGGTTCTAACCATTTTTTCGTTCCTGTATTAGAGTCTTTTCCCAACAACATAATTTGTAGGTAGAGAGAAACATTGAGACAAAAACAGATATTACAAATCGAAAATGTCAAAGTAAAGCAAAAAAATTTTCTATTTTTCTGATAAGAATGCAATATATATTCGAACAAGTGTATGAAATTTTGAAAAGATTATTTTCGAAGAACTATGCTTATACTTTATAATCTAAAGATTGATGATGATAAAAGTCGTTAACATCTGTTAGATGTATGTGACACAAAACTCGATAATTAAGGTATTTTAAAAAAAGATCAGATATTTTATTCTACGATTTGCATGATGACAATTTTTTTTTAGCAGCTAATATTCACTATAGAGAGTAATCAGCAGACCACTAAGATATGGCTCAGAATTCAATTCTATAGTCTTTCAATATAACGCGTCTGTTTGTTATAGTAATGGATGATGTCTTATAATTGTAACATTTCGACAGTTTTAACAATTGAGCCCTATCTATATACTGGTTTGAAATAAAAAAAAAGTTGATTGTATAGTTTTACTTGCAATGATAGTGTTAATGAGCTTTTTTTCCTCATTGTACTTATATACTAAAACTAATTTATTTTGATTTTTTTCCTTTCGTCTCTTTCTTTCTCTTTCTCTCGTCTTTCTGCTTTCTATTCTTTGTTTTTACTGCCATAATATATGTCTATATAGTTGAGTTGTCTATCGTCTGTTTCATTTATAAACATCCATTTATTTCATTTTACTTTTTTCTTTTTTAAAAAGAAATGAGAATGAAAAGAGATATATCTATGATACTAGTACCACCACATAATTATTTCATGAGTAGATCTATGTTCTTTTGTTGTTGTTTAACGACGACGATCCAATTATGTTACGCACCTGGTTATAGATAGAAAGACAGATAGTTACTTTTACTTTTTATGCGAACACATACACAAATAGCAAAAAAATGGAATCAAATTACATTATTTAGGTACGGTAGATAGGTAGTTTTTATATAGCCAATGTGTTTCACATTCTCATGATAAGAATATAAATAAGAACATATATGATTTTTATATATTCAATAAAATAAAACAAAGAACAAAAGTTCAGTGTTAAGAAACTTATTTAAATCTATAATTTCTATATATATATATAATGCATAAAGGTAGCAATAATATAATGAGACTTTATCAGGGTTTCTGGTTGTTATTTTTATACGATTCACCTATAAATATAAACTTCTTACTATTAAATTATAATCGAATATCGAACGTTTAAAGAGTAGACATGAGAGAGTAAAATGAGAACTTTATAATAAATAATTAGTATTATTATGTTATGTTGTTTAATGAAGTTATACATTATTTTTTTTTGTGTATGACTGTTTATTAATAGTAACATATTCAAAGAATACACTAAGCATTATTATACTTCATAATTTTAGATGAGAACAACATTTGTAACTTGAAAGAGGTAAGTGTTTTTGATAAACTTAAAAACCCTCATTAGTTTTTATCCGTCCCAGAAAAACCACGAGTGTTTCTCAGTTTTGTTAATCGTTTTAGCTCCATTTTCCTTTTCTTATATTTACGAGCAAACTATCGTTAAATTAGAAAAAATTTTCGATACCTCTCTCTTTCACATCCCTCTGACAGTGAATGGTATTCTTCGGATGAACCCAAGCATAAAAAAAAAATCTAGTACCGCTCGATTCATCCAGATTACTAGATTTTTACTCGATTGCAACTACTGTGAAACGACAGTGGAAATCTAGTAATTGGGCGATTACTCGATTTTTTCTAGTTACACCTATCCATTTATCGCCCGATAATCGATCGATTTATCTATTACTAGATGCGCCTGCAGGCGCATCCAGTTAAAAGTCCCTTTTCCAACTACTAATCTAGATGACAACTAGTCGTGTATCGCCCGATTACAGAAGAAATGTTTCTAGATTTTTCTCAGAGGTGATATTTGCTTGGAAATCTCTTCGACTAGTCCAGATAAATAGTACGTTGCAACATTACCTTTATTTAGATGATCAAAAAACATCTTAACATGTTAATCTTCAGTACAGTGGAAGGATCCACAAAAAGAGGATATAAGTCATCTAGGAGTGAGATACAAACAAGTGTTATGATTAGTTTAATGAATTTCTCACAGAAAGACTACTGAAAAGAGAAGGAACACTACTGTGAGATGTGACGATTGAGAGAATCATTCGCTCAAAAGTTTTCAAAACATTCTCGTATTATAAATGTTTAGAAGTTTTCACAGCACGAAAAACTTTTACACCTCTAACCCAGCCCGCATCTTGATTCATAATTTCTCCGAATTATGTCATGGTTTTATTGCTTTAACATATACTAGTACTATGCACATTGTTTAGCCACACATAATCATTTGTATATCAATGACATCACCAGTAACAACAATCGCACCCAAATCTTCGCCATCAGCGTGTTATTCTAGTCACGATTCAGAAGGTAGATCGTCGCTATAGTTGTCGTATTGGTTACATGAGTTCATTTTAATTTTTACAGTACCCTCGAGTCAAGTAGCGCATGCCAATAGCCTTCTAACAGCAGCTGCAGCTGCCACTCATCCACTTTATTATAATCCACAGTTTTTACTCAATAATTTACAAGTGCAACCAGTAAATGCTCAAAGTCAATTATTATCACAACTTTTACTCACAGGTAATAACAGATTAATTCGTACTCATCTTCAGAATAGTAAAATTATATCTTTCTTTAGGTGGAGCAGCGCTTCCATTTATGATTGCTGGAGCTCAAAATAATGCAACTTCTGTTGCTGCTGCACTACAATTGTTGACGAGTACTGGATTACTACAAAATTTATGTAAGATTCTTTTTTAGAAAAATAGTACACTCAAACTAAAACACTTTTTTTTACCCTAGTTTCGCCTATTTGGCCATCTCAGATTAATTCAAACACAGACAGCAATAATAATAAACAAGGAAACGTTGTTAATAATGTTCAACAAATACTGATTAATGCAGCAGCTCAAAATCAGTTGTTGCTACCAACGGTAAGAATGAACATCATTTTGTTTATTTTAAGTTTTTCTTTCTTACTGTTTTAGGCGACATTTATGGCTGCTCCACAACTCTTACAAACACATCAACAACAACAACAAAATACACCAAATAGTGCCATTTATCAGCATAATAATGAAGAACCACTTACACTTACAAAAATTAGTAAATCGAAAAGGTATCTAATAAACATTTTGATTTTAAACTTTAACTTATAAAGACATTTAAGTGAAGTGGTAATTATGTTCAATTTTCTTTTTAAGTATTTCCAAGGAAAATTCGAATAATGACATCACACAATTCAAGAATAATGAAGATAATAACAGCAGTGAAAATGAAAAATTAGATGATGATGAGCCAACAATCGCTTCAACATTGGCAGCATTACCAGATCGAAACAGTATATTTAAAATAACTATAGAATAATTAGACTGTAACTCTCATTTTCATTATTTAAGATCAAACAATTGGAACAACAGTGGATGGAATTAATTTAGATGAAATGAAAGAATTTGCAAAACAATTCAAATTACGTCGACTCGCATTAGGTCTTACGCAAACACAAGTCGGTCTAGCTCTTAGTGCTCAGCGAGGTCCCTCCTATTCTCAATCAGCAATATGCAGGTAATTATATCATCAATACTAATCGCAATATCTCATTTTAACTTTACTTATTTATTTAATATAGATTTGAAAAGCTTGATATCACGCCAAAGAGCGCAACAAAGATCAAACCGGTTCTCGAACAATGGATGCATGATGCAGAAGTTAAATTTGGAGACAGGTATAATAACATTTCATTATTATGTAAAGATACGGAAATTTTTGATGATGTTTTAAGGTTGAAAAATGGTCCTACTAATTTACATGAATTAATGACTGATTTGAATGCAAAAAAACGTAAACGACGTACATCATTTACTCCACAGGCAATAGAAATTCTAAATGACGCTTTTGAAATCAATACACATCCATCAGGTATTCACAGTTAAAATATTTTGTTCATTATATATTGTTGAGTTTATTGTTGTACTATAGGTGTGGAGATGACAGCGTTAAGTTCACGTTTAAATTACGATCGTGAAGTAATTCGAGTATGGTAAGAAAAATTTCTAAGAATTTTTGATAACATAGATTAGAAGCAAAAACATGTTCAAGTTCCGTTTATTCATACAGGTTTTGCAATAAACGTCAAGCATTAAAAAATTCAATCAAAAAGTTAAAAGGAAAGGCAAAGCATTTGACATCTGAAGACGATGATGATGATGAAACTTCTAATCCATCATCAACAATCTGTTCTCCATCATCTTCTTCAGTATATAAACAACCACAACCAGACAGTACAAACCATTCCGACGGCGAAGATGATTTGTTATCTAATGATGACGATCAACAACAACAACTACAACTACAACAGCAACAACAACAATGTGTTTTAAAAGAATTACAAGAAATAGCTAATATAAAATCAACTAATACAAAAGCTCAAAATCTGAATGAATCAAAGCTGTTGTCCTCTTCTCATATTGCGAAACACTTTGATGATAAAAATGAATGAATAAATTTTGTACAAAAGTAAGACCATTTCTCACACATATAATCTTTTCCATTTTACCTGATGTTATATACTAGTCATATATATCAATGCATTGATAGTTTTTCATCCTCATCTTGCATGTCTGCTTCCGACTTACATTGTCGTTGTTATTTTTTCTGTACTTGTTAGTATTGTTCCTGTTGACAGCTGCAAAGTCTGTTTCTTTTTTGTCACGTTGCCTTTCTACTACACTCAGTATTCTACTAAAGCTGTTTTCTTTCTTTATAAAATGCGTGTGTCGTTCATCACCAATGGTTTTCACTCTGTAAACTACTGATAAATAAAATCCCAGCTATTTCTTCCATTAAATTTCTTATCTTTTTTTTAATTATAAGTTCCATTTGTGCTGTGCATGTTTTTCTCTTATAGCGCATGATTTGATGTAGCGGCACATGTTTAAAAACGTTCATTTTTTATTGTATATTAGTCTTCTGTGTCATTATCTCCGAAAACGTTATGCAAAGTGAAAATGTTGTTTAAATGGTCAAAATAAGATGGCAGTTTATTATAACTCAAAAAGAAAATCTTAGTTTATACAATCAGAATACACTAAGGCTAAGAGTTACCCATATCTTTTAATTCTCGTTGACCTGATTTCTCTTGCTCTTGATTCTTCATCAAAGAAAGACCGGAAGAATGACAAAAAACATGGCTGACAGAATTTGTTTGCATCCAGCCGAAGCGATTCATAGTCCAGGCAAACCCTGGTCTGTGTATATACACACTTACAAACAATATTAAAATGCCGGATCGACCAAACACACCTGAGCAGTACATTTCTCCTTTTTTCGATAAAAAGTACCGTTTTCAGGATGATTCCAATAGGAAGTTATACGTTAGTATACATTTTCAACATGAATTTCACAAAATATCATTTTGTGACCAAGAATATTCTTGATCTTCTGGTTGCTGCGATACGATACATCAATCGACGCATCATCCCGAGTTTGAGCTTTGTTTTATCATTTGGGTACGGAACTTTAAACCATCAATACTTATAGCTGGTATTTATGTGGCTTGGATGAGTTTAACTGTGTTCTCATGTGAATCCTGAATTTTCTTCCCTTATGCTGATCATGTTACTCGACTATTATGACATTTCACCTATAGATAATTAATGCAGAATGTACTACCTACATAGATTATTAAGCACGTATGATAAGTTTTTCATTCTGTATGTTTTAGTGACGATTTCCCTTCATGCTGACGCAATCTATTACTTTCTTTATTTGGTATATATATTGTGGTACACGGTACCCTGAAAAGTCAAAGAATAAATGTAAATTCTATGACTTGTATGTTTGGGATAGAGGTTATGATATCAGTGTAGAAAGTTATTTTCAATATATGTCGAATTTTTTGAATCAAGTAGTATATCGTTTGGTCTGTGGAGTTGAGAACCGAAGACGTACTATTTTATTTTTGATGATCGTCACTGATCTACTTTCTTGTCGTATTTCTTGCAAGATTCTTGTCTCTTGTCGTTTCAGACAGGAATCTTTAAGTTTGTCTCAATAGATCACACAAGATTCTTCATTTAGTTTTTTATTGATTTTTCATCTTTTTTTGCAAAAGATTCTTGTCGAAACAGCAGGATTTGTTGACGATAAAATCATCAATTTGTTTTGTCCGTTCTCGTGCTATATATAATAAGTTATATAATATAACTCAATACTATACCAAGATGTCTATAAAAATTCTTTTAAATCTCACAAGATTCCCGTCGAGAGATAATCGAGTCTTTATGTGCCTGTATTGGCGTCAGAGCGGCTAACTCCTATATCTATGAAAAGAAAAGAAGACGAAATATTCTCAAAAAAAATCAACATATATGCAGTTTTTCGTTTGCAAGATTTTTTTAAGAATTACAAGACAGGAGTCTTACAGGAAATTTATGACAAGATTCTTGACTGAAGTTTGGTTTTGTCACCCTTACCCTCAGTCAAGTCGGTCTTATGACTTTTGGATGAAATCAAAAGATAGAAATTTCAGCCAACTATCTTGAGATAATAATACACGTGGAATATTTGCAAACATTCATGGCTGAAATAACAAGAACAGGAATCTTGCAAGAAACCCGAAAGAAAGTGAATCAGTGGTTCGATGTGACATTGTACTTATAAGAAAAAAACGACGAACACGCACGTCTGATTTAAAGCAGATTAGAGGAGACGCACACGCATGGATAACTTTTCTACTCTTTTCTTTCTCTTAGAACATGTCAGAGCAGAGCGATAGTGAAAATGCGGACTGTCTGAGTCAAGGACTTTTCTAGACTTGGACTAAACTTGTATTGGTTGAGAAAACCTAAATTGATACTCTGCACAGTGGGCATCCAAGCGGAAATTAGGCGAAAAATTCGATCTGCTCATTTTTCAAATATGAATAGTGCAAAATGTAGCCCTTTTAATTCCCTATCGAATGGTGTATAAATGTCTATTTTGATGTCGTCTCCGTCGAGGAGCAATAAGGACACAAAAGGTATATGACGAATATCGAAAAACATGACACGAATGCTGGAAACTGTGATTTTTTATTCTTACATCTATGTTAAAACATTTGGAAACACATATGCGGAATCAGCATGTCCTCACCTATCTTTTGATAACAAAATGTATATACTTCAATAGAGATTTCAATGCATAACACTATACGGATGCATCATAATATCAGTTCGACCTAAGACCACCTCACTGCAGTCGAGTTCCCCTCGTTTCCCCCACTTCAAAATAACATCC